CCTCCGATTATCACTTGTTTCTCTCTTTGCAAAACTTTTTACAGGAAAAAAAATTCAAAACTGAAGCTGATGTCAACCAAGCACTAGTTAAGTTCTTCGCCTCTAAAAATAAATCATTTTTTAAAAATAGCATTTACAAGTTGCCATCACGCCGGCAAGAAGTCATAAGTAACGATGGAAAGTATATTCTACAATAAATATTATTAAATGTATGAAAATTGTGTTATATTTCAATTCAAAAACGGACAGAACTTTCCGGTAGACCTAATATTTTGTCAAATCGGTGTCTCAAACAAAAAATGACGATAGATCGGAAGTCGAAGTAATTCGCTACGAAAGGAAATTGCCGGCGGTGTTCCTGTTTCGATTTTCGAAGAATTCCGACGTAAAAGTTTCAACGGATGCGCCGGGTAATTTAATGTAACTGTAATGGAGAGGGAGGGGTGCAGGAAGTCGGGGGTGGAGTCTAGAGGAGCCTGTATTCGACACACTCCGTGGAATTGTTTCTCTCCGTTCCACCGTTGCATTGGTGCCGGTGGTACGCCTATGCGCGCGATGCACTATTTCGAACAGTGAAAGCAAATCGTGCCAAGGCATGCGGGCACGACGACTGCAATTCCATTTTGATATCATGAATATTTCCTGTCGCAGGTTCCTCGAACTTGCTCGTCGTGGCTCACTTAACTGGCACGATTTCGTGCTTCCGATTCCACGCGTAAACAGTCGCGCGCGTTTCATGCTCTCTTCCTCCTTGAACCGTGATCCCAGAAAACTCCACTCTCGATCGTATAATTATCCTGGATCCATTTGCCTCGGAATTAATCTTTCATGCCATTCGCGATCCAGTGAAACGGTTAAAGTGCAATACAGACTGGGCGATAATTTCTGTAGAAATCATTTCAATTTTTATAAAGGTTCTACTGGATTAACAAACAAAATTCGACGATAGTAAATTGTTCATTGATTCCTTGACATGCTAAGACAGTTCGGATACATAATTGTCCCTCACATAATTGATGTAAAATATTGTTTATTAGCAGCAACATCTCTGTTTGGAATTCGTATGAAAATTTTTTTTCATACATAAATAATAAGTCAGAATATAAATGATAACTTTGGCCATATCGAATTTTATTTAATCTATATTCAATGATACCTAGATGCATGATACCTAGTTCATTGGTGTCAACGTTCTAAAGTTCCATTTTCGCAGACTATCCTAGAAACATCGGAATTTATTTTTCAATTAAAAGAAACAAATGTAAATGTTTTTTCTATTTAACTTCTTAAGTACTTGAATTAGTAAAATTACTTTCCCTCTGCAAATATTCACGAGAGAACAATTTCTTGCGCGAACTGAAAGGATCGCTGCCGTTCGAAAATGCAGTTAATTTTTCGAATGTTCCGCGAATGTTCGCATGCCTACGAGCTGCCTGCTCTAGAAACACATAAATAGCTGTGTACTAAAGTAAGTATTAAAATATTCCCCGATTTGCAGGGATGCTCGTCGCCGTTGGTAGTCAAATTCGCAGACACGCAGAAGGAAAAAGATCAGAAGAGGATGCAACAACTCCAGACGAATCTTTGGAATATAGCCGGAGTCAACATGCCGCCGCATTACCTGACCGTCTGTACCTTTAATATTTTACAACCGACCTTTTTACCCGATATCAAAGAGCCCATTTGCATCGCGAATGAAATACTTTCTCATAAATTTGTTTTCCTGGGCGCTTTAAATTTGCACGCGAATTCTGCGCGCGTGTACCGTCGAGGCACCGTCCCCGCGTGCACGAAAAAACGAGGACTCGCGCGAGAGATACGTCTTGGAAGCGGATCCTGGTTCCTTTTGCATGCGAGAATTCCTTTTTTCATGCGAATTTTCATCTCTTCTGTGAATTCTTCGCCGACGAAATTCACGGCAATCGAATCGCTAGATCCGCTGGAATCCTTTGGATGTTCCATTCGCTTTAAGTCTCGCTAATGCTCTCGTGATAAAAATCTTGCGAGACGGCTATCGATTCCGAGAAAACGGGTAAAAGGCGTTTTGTTTTGTACCCCAAGTATGGTAGCACGATCGCTCAGGAGTCCCGTTCGCATTTTGTTCGCAGAACGATACGCCTACTCTGCCACCCACCTCGTTGCAACTGTTGCAACAACTTCAGGCGACGACCAGCGCAGCGACTCCGGTTGCAGCAGGTGCTGGCGCGAGTGCTCTGTCGAACGTTCAACACCAATTATTGTTGCAACAACACCTCGGCCTCGGTGCAGCGACCCCTGCGCACGCTGCTGCGCCTGCAGTGCCCAGTCCACCTGAGATCAACCCCGCGAATCTTCAAGGATTGGCTACCTTGGCGTCGTTGAGCAACACCGCCGGTGAGTATGGTTGGTGTCCATTTGTTTTTCTTTTATGTTCATTCCGCACTCTCTCTCTCTCCGTTGGTCGCGATATTCGACGCGACAATGCATCGTATGCATACATGTTGGAAAACTTGCGGTTCCCACACTTCGTCGACCTTTAAGTTCTCCATTTGCAAGCGTTCAATTTCGCCACCAACCGCACACGCGCATCTTTTCGTTCATTTCACTCGGCCACCGAGCTACTTGCTTCGTGATCAAATAAATCGAATTTCAGTACATGCTAATTTATCTTTAACGTACTCGCTCCTGCCACTAAGATTTCTTAGCTACGTTAAATATTGCAATTGTCACAAGTGTCGCTGACAGAAACATTGAATTTCATTCCCATTTAAAAGAAATTAATAATATCCGCACTTAGTAGAAATCTGCATAACGAGTTACGTTGTCCTAGTGCAAGGAGTTAAGCGAGGAAATGATGTCGGTATTTTTGTTTAACAAAAGTGTGCGAGACAAATAGAAGACTAACGAGGTACTAATGATAGAGCAACCGTATGACTCACCCAGCCATGGACAAGTTATGAGGCGAGGGGCTAATTATAACGACATTTTTATTCATTTATTTCCGGCACGGATATGATGGACGATCTTCGATGAATTCGTTCAGATTATTTTCTGTTATTAAAAACCGAGAGGCGCGGTTTCGTGAGAATGACTGGCGACAGATGCCGGGCACTCTGCGCCGAAATATTTCGAGTCCATTGTTCCTTTGGAGAATCCGCGTTATCGCTTAATATAATACTTTCGCCTGCTGCGCGAGTACGAAATTATTGCGTGAATCGTGTCGCAGTCCGTTTCGTAACATTCGCGAACGGCCATGTTTAACCATCCCGTACATTTGTCCGTCCGTTGTCTATGCGATAATAAAATTCTACGTTTAATGGGCACGGAGTGCGGGTCGGTGCAATGATAAATCGATATAGATGCCCGCCATTACTGTTGGCATCAAAACGTGTGTTTATTGCTGATTGTCGAGTAATAAGCGATTGGTGCTAGATCTTATGCAACTGTCCTCTTGGGTCACGTCTCGCGTACTTGTCCGTTGGCGTCCCAAACAGGTTGACAAAAATGAAATTTGGTCACTGAAACCAGAATCGACCAATTCAATAATGTATCGCAGCGTTTGCTCTTTCGATCCCTTTACCTCTCTTATATACGAGTCATGCGGTAATTAACGCGTTCATCTTTTGCACCCGACGCTATTTTGACACTGGTCTTTAGCAATTTATTAACCCTTTGCTGGTGGGAAGTGATTCCTACTATTTCTGAATTTGCTACCGCACTGTATTATTTAATTATATTTCTATACGTAATTTTATAACCTATTGTGAACAGTTTAGAAACACTACAACTGTGAGATAGCAATTGTGGCATTATTCATGAATAGAACGTAGATTTTTAAACGAGTCTCATTAAAAATCGACATAACTGGAGGAAATGCAGCATACGTGGCGTAGCAGTTTGTTTAACATGACTAAAAATAATGGCAGAGGATGGAAATAAATGAAACTGTATGAAATCATGGAGGTAGAGCAGGTTTTCTTTTATTATATTACAAATATTCCAAATTATTTTTGTATACAGTATTCTGCATTAGCGACGTAACATTGAAACCTAAAAATTCGTGTCACATTTTGTACGCACGATATGCTTGCAAAATTCACACGGAAGCATAGAATTAATATGCAAATGAATTGATTAAACCATTAACTTCCACGCTTTTGCTTGAACTATTTTATACAAGGTAGGAAATATTGATGTCACAGTTTTTATACTGACTAACTGGTCATTTGCCGCTTATTCGTATTCACTTGTTATTATTTCAGCATTTGAAATATGAACGATTAAATAACATAAAATAATAATAAAAATTGTATCGAACGATGATGTGGTGATTTTCAATAATGTTTCGAGTTGCAAAGGGTTACGATAACTTGGAGCTCGAAATGACGTACCATTTCGACCTGCATTCAGTTGCATTTATCGAAGCCTCTGACGAGTTGTATCGATTGGAAACGTTGCAGCGAACGCAGGAGTTGCTCCGATGAGTATGCAGAATCTTGTCACGCTGGCAGCCATGACCGGTGGGAATAGCAACCTTCAAGTGTCGCCAAACAGTGAGTAGAGAAACTTGCACGGCATCGGAATCTATAGATAGTAACGATTGTATATTTTGTCGTCTCTCTCTCTCTCTCTCTCTCTGTCTGTCTGTCTGTCTGTCTCTCTCTCTCTCTCTCTCTCTCTCTCTCTCTCTCTCTCTCTCTCTCTCTCTCTCTCTCTCTCTCTCTCTCTCTCTGTCTGTCTCTCTCTCTCTCTCTCTCTCTCTCTCTCTCTCTCT